AGCCAGCAGCCACGAAGGCTGTTTTTCCCTGGATAGAGACCGAAATGACTTGTGAGCCAGTGACTGAGTGTACAGCATCTCTATTACATTAAGATTAATAATTCCTCACAGCGTATTTGCAGCTGGAAGTTTTATATAGGTCTTTATTCATCGTGATGTGAACAGCTGCTCTTTTGCTGCACTGTTGAATTAAAGTCCAAGTGGCAGCACTAGAAAGTGCCACATAAAACACACTCCTGCTGTTTTCCATTCAATCCTTCTCCCGTCCAGCTCTTGCCCTCTGCGCAGGCTTAGCCCTTTGCAGGAGCAAGCCATTTGATTTTTATTTGTGGACCAGCTCTGACTACATTTGGATCTTAAAACAGAGTTTGAGTGAATCCAAGGAAAATTAGTTTTAGAAAGGAAAAATAAATCTTGAAAGCGGCACAAAAACCTGTAGGAATTCCTGTTACATTTTTATTTGAAGTGAAGGACTAAGGTGTAGTAGCATGTATGTTAAGTCGCACAGGGCATAAATTATATGCTTTTTTTGGTTAACTGTCAGACAAAATTCAGCAGAAGCTATCACAGCCAGACAGTCACCTCAGCTCCTAAGGAGGTGGGTTTTTTGTTTTTTTTTTAATTCTGAAGTCTGTCTGCTCTGCTGTTTTGAATAAGACTCTCCTCTTTTTTTGGCTTGTGCTCTCATCAGAGAACAGAGTGTACAGGAGCATTTGCGTGGCCCAAGTTCAGCACCTCCATTTTGAATCCACGGTGACAAGTGGTCTGGAGCTGAGCTTTGCACGTCATCTGAAAACTGGCTCCCACTATTGCATGCCTGGTTGCCGGCAAAGGGAAGAGGTACCTGGTCAGGATGATGTGCCTCTCTCAGTCCTAGGTATGCTGTGGGCTGCAGCAGCCTGCATCCTTCTGGGCCAGAGACCTAAAAAGCACAAAGAGCATGTGGGTGGTACAGTAGTGGCTGAAACATGTACCCCTGCAGAGCGTGCTGCTGAAGGTGGAGAGAAACAGCTGGAAAGAGACAGGGATGCTGCGAGAGCCCGCAGCAGGGCGGGCACCGCAGTGGTTTCTTGGTGCCCAGTGGATGCTGCGTGTCTGGCCGAATCGGCGCTGCCAGGGCCGCTCCTTGCCCCGCGGGGTCCTGCATCTCTCAGCTGGGGGCTGCTGGCCCTTGCCTGGAGCCCGCTCTGTAGGGCAGAGTACAGCTGCCTGGTAGTGCCCTGCCCCTGCCCTGGGGTGCGCGGTGCACCCCCTTATCTGCCGGAGGGCTGCCTGGCTTTTCCCGGGCACTTGGTATTAAGCCCTTTGGTTTGGGAGGGGAGGCTGAGTGGAGAGCCTCTACCATCCCCTGGCTCTGGGCACCTGAAGTGTGTTTTTTCCACAAGCTTCCCCTAGCAAAGGAATTCGGAGTCAAACCAGGCCAGAATAGGAATAGGAGGGGACTTTGTGATGAGGGCAGTCTTTTCGTCTTTTTTTTGCCAGAGCCATAGGTTGCTGGCTCCCTGAGCTTTCAGCAGCAGGTCCCTGGGCGTTTTCAGCTCAGGGGCGCAGAGGCAGGGCAGTTCAGTGGCTGCCCAGGCGAAGGTCAGGCAGGATCTCTGCAGCGCACGTGAGAATAGATGCCTGGGTCTCCACTTCGCTTCACATGATAGTCATTGCCCGCAAGACCAACTTTTCCCTCTTCCCGTTTAAACCCGTAATGCAACGGCTTACATCTCCTAGTGCTTCTACGTGGTAGCTAAAAGTAAATTCTTTTTCTTAAAAATCAGATTGATGACCCTATTTTTATGCATGCTTGGTGCTCACAGCTAAAATCAATACTCAAGATGTTCATGCACTTTCCTTGTAGTTTAAACAGTTTGATCTTCCATTTGGTTTTAAAAAATCAGGACACTGAGCACTCGCTGATGTTATTTTTTTGAGGCTGTACATTAGGTACGTTTTTAAAACATGACAATTTGTTTCATTTTATCATTCATCATGTGCAGTTACTGTAACCAAGAAAAAGACCTACTGCTTGAGAAAGTTAGCAATTAAGCTATTTGGTGTGTAGCTCCTGAAGCTCTGGTTTAAAGAGACAAGCAACAATTACTTTAAAAATGTCACTATTTTATAGATTTTTATCCTTTTTGAAAGCATTAGAATTACATTCCAAAACACTGATGGGGAAAAAAGGGAAAGAAGCCCCCTCTCCCCAGACCGGGTGTTTAGTCTCACTAATGATTCTCTCCAGACTGACTCAGGGTATTCCTTCAACAGTTCTAGAAATGCAAGTGGGACAGATGGACCTGTAAGGCATTGCTGAGCGTAAGCACTGCGGTACCTGCTGCAAGCAGCATGGCCATCAGTTACATGGTAGGATAAGAAAATGTAGATATTGTTCTTACTATACACCATAAATGGGTGTATTTACTACTTGTCTTTATTACGTACCAAACGTACAAAGAGCAGGCACACACATTTGTAGATGCGTCGCTGATACGGATGTTACCTATGGATTTTTTTGGCACATCATTATCATTAAGGATGCAGCCCCTACTAGCGTGGAGAGTCTCAAGCACAAGCTGCTGACTAGTTTAGAGGGTCCCTGGTCATGCCCCACTTTGTTATTAGTGGGAGCTCTGCCCTGAATGCGTTGGGACGGGCTAAGCCCTAAATCAGCCACTACGGTCATTTAACATATTTACAGTGTCAGAGTCTGGAGGAATGCACCGCTGTAAGGTTTTTGCAGTCTTTTCCCAGAACTCCAAATAAGTACATTTAAAAGCTATTATGTAGTGTAGCTCCCTTTTTTCCTGATGGCGTGAGTGGGGGCAGAGAGTATACCTGGCTGGTGTGTCCCGTCGAATGGGACCATTCTTTCGGTGGCCTCCAGGAGCCTCTCCAGGCACAGAGGGCTCCTTGTTACGACAGGTAGCTTTCTGAGCATTTCAACAGATGCTTCAGCACGCCAAAAGCATAAAGCACTTGGAAGGGAGCACGCAGAATATTTCAGCCGCGTTTCTTAAAATAAATGTCGTGGCTTAAATAATAGAAGTTTTCCTCACAGACTCCAGAATAACCACCGACGGTGAAATAGCGTTTGAGTTATTGGATGCGACATTTGCAAAAATGCCTCAAAATTCGGTAACTACAGCGAGGTTTGGGGACATCTTGCTTTTTTTTTCCTAACACTCATGTTAAGAGCACCTCAGCTCCGTCTGCTCATCATTTTTCAAGTCTGTTTAATTCTGATTGCCAGATTTCATAGATATGCACCAGGCACACGGTTGGAATCCAGGCAGGCTGGGTATGCTCACGTCTGTGATAAACCTCAGGTTATCATCGCTGTAGGACTGATTCAGATAGTACCTTGCAGTCGGATGTTGGCTGTGAGGGGTGAAACAGCACTGTTTCCCTCGCGCTTTGCTGGCCGCCGGAGGAAGACGCCTGGCGTTTAGCGCCGTGGCGCCTGGACGCGCGAAAACATTCAGGCCTGATGCACAGTGCATGGCGCGTCTGTCTGGGGAAAGGCAGGGATTTGCTTTGGCACCCTGCGTCAGGACGAGCAGCAATCTACTGGTGAGAATCAAGACGTGTTGGTGGGAGAGGGTGTTGTGAAAGCGATGATGGAGAGGTGTAGGAATCCCAGGGAAAGCTTGGCGCAGTGGAGCAGTCGCCCAGCCGGTGCAGCCTTTCCCTCGCTCTTGCGTAAGATAATGTAAGGTGACAAAGAGCTTAACTGTGATCGGTCCTGTTCTGGTGTTAATTACCAGTGACTGCATCGCTTTTGATAGAATTAGAGGAGTGTAAAACAGGCCCACAATTAAGTTTGATTTTGATCTTAGCAGCTTCAGACAATATAAATGCAAATACCATTTGAGACCAGTTCAAATATTTTCAACAGTGTTGCTCAAAAAAAAAAAAGAGCAGAGTAGTCAGTGGTCAGTCAGAACAGGAGAATATGACCTACTTTCATTTTAAAACCAAAATCTGCATACTTAAGTTTTGCCTGCATTTTTCCTTTGTACTAAACCAGGCGACTGCTGTATCCTCACCTTTATTTGGGAAGGAAAACTCATTCCAAAACATTGTGCACCTGATCCGTATTTGCAGCTAAGTCCTTTTACGCTTTCACAGCAGGGGAAAGTACAGCTCTTTCCACTGGGATCTGCGTATTGCCAAGCAAAGCACGCTTGGTAGGAAAGGCACATCCTTTATTATGAATGCCGTAGCCAAGAGCAGCCTTTGTCACCTGTACTCAGCCACTGAGTTATTAAGAGAAGAGCTTCGGACTGTGTTACACAGAGAAAAAGATAAAAATAGGGTGTCTGACGCATGCATCCCATGTTGCACGCCAGGAAACAGAATCATTATACCACCAAGTACAGTATTCCAGAGCACGCGTGGAAAATATGCATGGATGTGAACGCGCGAGATCTTTCCTAACAAAGAAAAATACTCAGTCCCCCTTTTCCCCCTTCCCATTTTACATCTGTCTTGTTCGATATTCCCTTTACCTGTTGACAAATCTAACAGCCCGGAGTACCACAGCTCTGCCTTTACTGCCACCGCTCCCCTCGTAGTCCTGCTGAACAATGTGACAGTAGTAATGCTCACCTATATTTTGAGGGAGCCGCAGAATATTCTCGCTGCACCCAGCTGAGAGTAAGCAAAATCTTGCCCGTTCTCCAGACATCTGCAGCATGCCGAAAACTCGCAAAGCTCAGCGCTGTCTGTCACAGAAGTTGTGCGCTGGGTGCATAATCTAAAATTAGTCATCCACAGTATGTGCCCCTTTAAATGTTAATCCTTGCATCATTTTCTTTTATTGCTTCTGTTGGCATACGTGATTATGTGACATAATATAAAAGTAAATAATGTGATGCAATGGGTAAAACTCAAAGGGAAATACATATCAGATATCGGATGCCTCCTACCGCAGAATATGAAATAAAACTTACAGTGAGTTGAGAGTGAGGATTTTGCCTGTTTTGAGGGCAGCAAAACCAACCGTATAGTGATTACATTAGTCTTTCTGGGTGTTTTTGACACCTCCCAGCTCTTGAAAATTCATGTTCGTTCAGTGCTGTAGCCACTACTTGTCTTCAGGTGCAGAAGTAGCTGTCAGGGAGTAAGTAACTGTGGGTAATGGATCCAAAGCAAAGCCCAGCAGGGCTGTACGACAGGGCCTTTAAAAAAAAACAAACATAAATTTAGTTTAAAGATCACAAGCCTTAAAAAACAATGCAAAACATGCATCTGAGATCTTACTATTTATTTTCAGCATGTGAACCCTTCTCGGGGGAGGGCAGGTACGCAAAGCTGAGGACTTTGGGTGTTCAGTTGCCTCCTGGTAGGAAACCTGTGGGAAAAGCACAAGCTGAGACTCAGCAGTAGGTTGTGAGATACGGCAGCAGCTGAGTTCAGATTTAAAGATAAAGCCTGAAATAGCAGAACCCAATGCAAGACCAACATTTTTTGACCCCTTTCTCTGGATTCAGTAAAACATATGGGTACCTCGGTGTGCGATTTAGCTTTTGCTGAATTGAGGTTTGAGTTACTCGCTAGTCTATTTTTACCTTTTAAGCAGCCTTGTAATTCAATATGTGTTTGTTTTAATTTTACACTCTCCATAAAAAGCACCGTCCATGACGAGTTGGAGAAGTGACCACTGGTAATGCATAGAAATTTAATTGGCTGGTGTGTCACACTCTTACTTTTCCCCCCTGCAAACCTGCGTGCCGCTTGCGATCAAAAATACCCCACGATACCCTGCGTCTCCTCTGTCACATCAGCTTTGCTGCTGAGGCTCTGGAGATGCTGAGGTGGGGTGAGATCAGACCGGGCCGAATCCAGGTCACTCCACCAGCCCGCTCGCTCGCGCCGGTGACGGTAGTGAACAGCCAGGGCTGCAAGGCGGGGTGCATGGGGTGGTGATGAGTAGGATGGTGGCTTCCCCGTGGCCGCCCGCTGTGCCAGGAGCACACCTGCGATCGCCCGTCGGCAGCTCGGGCTGCATCTCCACCTATGGGGGTTAAAGCCAGAAAGCCCTCTTTTTGCAGTGTAGCGCTAATGTTGGTGTCAAGGGCCGTAGGAGGCGGGTGTTCCGTGTGGGGCTGAACCGAGATGTGGAGCCCACGGCACCCTGCTGAAGGCAACGCGCGGGCTTGGCTCTGCTTTTCTCTCTCCGTCATTTTGCCAATACCACAGATTTTCAAACCGCTGCTAATGTGTTTTAAATTTGACAACGCTGATATGGAAACCCCCATATCATATCACAACCCCCTGGCTCCGAGCTGCCTTCGTGTGGTGTCTCAGCAATGCAGAGCTGATAAAATACTGGAGTGCTAGAAATGAGCTGCCTCCTCCTGTCCCTGCGTCCTCCCGGCATCCATGCGCTTTAGGTAAGGATGTAAAAATTGCTACACCAAATCAAACAAATTAAAGTGCTTCTGTTTTCCTCTTGGCTCTTCTGACCAAAGCATTGGGTGAAAAATCTGCAGTATGCCCGATTAGTGATAGAAGATGTGTCTAGGTACAGCGTCCTTCCTTGCTCATGCATTGGTTACCGTGGTACCTGAAATATTGCCATTATGCATTCCTGTTGCCATCAGTGTGTTTGATAGCAGTGGGAAGACTTTGTGCCTCTGTTTGCACTCGCCAGAATTTTGCAGTGCTCAAGGAGCAAAAGTGACTCAAGATCTTTGTTCTTAATAGCATTCCTGCTGCCAGATGGTAAAAAACTCCGGAGAGATAGGTCTTACGTTATTATGAAGCCACAAATTACTTTTTAAGATTTAAGGAGAGTGAAAGCAAGCAAAACACAAATATTAACAACATTTGATACAGGTTTCACCACTTGCTTTCAGCTTTATTTAGCTTTGGACTTGCATGCTCCGTAAATGAAAAATGTTGCTCCTCACCGAATTATGATCAGTGGTCTAATTTTGATCTATCAGATTTAGTGATGGTGCAGTGATGGTGGATAACTCATGGCCAAACCCACCTGAACCATTCGCAGAGGAAACTAAACCTACAACAAAGCGAGCAGGTTTGCTCTGAGATGGCACATCTCCTGGGACAGCCCACCTTGCCCGCACTCCTCTCTCCTATAGTTGCTGCATCCTCCCTTCCCTTGGGATGGGGCTTCGTGGCTAACTACTGCGAGATAACTATTTTTGTGAAACTCATTTCCCAGCATCAGGCGGCAGTGTTAAGCAGAGGTTGGAGCTGTCCCCAGACACCTCCACCCGTGGTCTCCTTCGCACCAGTGTGAACCCAGAGTAGCTTCTTCAGGAGATGGTGGGGATGAGGCCAGACTCTGCTCCTGCTCTGTCCCCAGCCTGTGGCAGAAATAACTCTTGTCATCAGAGCGGTCACTGTAACATGGATGAGGTTCAAGTCAGGCCCAGTAGCTTCAATGAGATTTTTGTGCGATTATAACAAGAATTTGACACACATGGTGAGCTACTAGTCATGTATATGTGATCTGTCTCCACGCTGTCCCAGGAGGTATTTACCAGCATAAAAATCAGTTAATGAGGGGACGTGTCCCAAGCAGCAGCCTGCTGCTGCACGAGGGATGACCTGGGAAGCTCGGGGATGGATGAGCTGTGTCCTTTCCACTTGCAGGCTCCATTGGTTTTGCCACCCTCAGTACTGGGAGGGAACATTGAGTTCATTGTGTTTTTTTGTTGAATGCCACGGCAGAATTTATACAAAGTTTTCTGTGGACGTAGCGGGAGTGCTCAAAAGCTCACCCCACCTAAAGTGCCTCAGGTCCTTTAGGGTAATGAGACATTTTCTGAGTGCACCTTTTTATTGTACCAATATTACGTTACAGGAAAAATGGAAGGGTGGAACTTAACACATAGCACCTGTCACAAGTTCTCTCCTTGAATTAGGCTCTCCTGCTTATAAAAATTTAATTGATTCCTAGCAGTTTATGTGCATGGTGCTCAGTGGGCGTTTTCTGTTCTCTTGCCAGCTACATGGTTACTTAGAAAGCGAGCCGCTCACGCTACAGCTGTTCATTGGGACTGCAGACGACCGCCTGCTGCGACCCCATGCTTTCTACCAGGTTCATCGAATCACCGGGAAGACCGTTTCTACCACCAGCCACGAAACAATACTTTCCAACACCAAAGTCCTGGAAATTCCACTTCTTCCAGAGAACAACATGAGAGCAATGTAAGACCCAGGCACCGTATCTGACTCCTAGCAGTTTCCTCTTGGTTGCTCTGCTTGATTTCTTCTGTGTTGTTTTTTATTTTTTTGTACACAATTTTCCTTTTTCCTATTTTTTTTTAAAGGTCTCTCTCTAATAGTAGGTTTTCACAACTTTGCCCCTAATCAGCTTAACAACAAAATGAACTTCACAAATATTTACAAAAACTGATGGCTTTCATTCTAGAGTTTCAGCCAATGTGCTTATTTGCCATTTAAAATAAGTATCTCAGTTACCAAGCTGTAAATATCTCCTACCTCAGCTCCTGCATTTAGTTTCTAAATATGACACCTCTTGCTCCTATACGCACTAGCACAAGGAACAGGGCCTATTAAAATTTATCTTTGGATGTCAAAGGAAACTCTTAGAGAGCATTTCCAAGTACCCTAGTGTTCTTTTGAGACGAATAAAACCACTCTTATTTCTTACATAATAAAAATCAGCATTTTTCATGGCATTAGTTTAGAAGCAAAGCTTCTAGAACTAAGAAGGGGAGTAAAGGTGATACAACTTACAGATTGGAGTTATTAAACTGGGGTAAGTTTAGTCCTATGCAGAAAAGCAGGCACGGATGTCTAAGGATCTCTGAATTAGCAGGAGTCTGAGTGATAATTAAGTGCCCCGTAGGTCCATTACACACAGGTAAATTTCATTACAGGACTATGAATAAAGGGTCAAATATCCCTCTGTGTATGTGACATACATGAGACCCTCCACATTATTTAATCCTGTCCTCCCTGCCCCCCTCGTTCAAATGATCCTAGCCCTTATCTGAGTTGTCTCCCCCCTCCTTCAAATGATCCTAACCCTTATCTGAGGTGTCTTGCCTTGGGAGGAATTTGTGTGTGCTTGCGTGCACGTACATCTCTCGGTGTGTGTATAAATGTGAATGTATTCATATTTATATATAGATGCATGCACCTTTGTGCGTATGTATGGGGAGATAGAAAGATAAGTAGGTAGATGGACAGAAAGCAAGCAAGAAATCCTGGCCCCACCAAACCAAATACCATGGGAAAATCCCAGGGAGCTTACTAAAATCACAATTTCACTCCTTCTTATTCATAGTTTTTCGCGCCTTAATGAAATGAAAAATGATATCAGACACCTGAAGTCCTTCCGCAGGTAGTGGTTATTAGAAGCTGGCTTGCAGTGTCATGTACAACATGCCCCAGAGTGCCTCATGTAAATAGAAGAGCTAGAATGTGTTTAGCTGCATTGCCAGCCAGGCTTAGGGTGATCACTCAAGACCTGAGGACCTTTGTCAGTGCATTGTGTTAAAAGTCATGACATGCCTGCAAAATTATTGGCCCCATTTGCTGTTGTCGTAAGCTGGCATGACTCCATTGAGGTTACTGAAATTTCAACAATTGGTACCCACGCGATATTTATTTGGTCCTTTATATAACATTTTGAATAACATTTTTGGCCATCTAGAAACATTATTACTGTTTCAATCATCTTTCTCCCTAGAATAAAGGTAGTTGCACAGTTTGGGAGCCAAGCTGAATATTTTCGTGACATGCGTGCCAGATCGTAGTAGAGCTCTCTCAAGAACCACCAACAATGCTTTGGCATATGTAAGCCTTACACGTCAGTAGTCTGAAACCTCATGTAGCACTAACAATGAATTGAAATTTGGAGCAAACACTTTTCTCGCACATACTTTGTGTATTCAGGCCTTGGTTCAGTGAAACACTGACTCTCATCTGCACGTTTAAACTTTTGCACATTTAGCTACTCCTGTTGACTTCAGATTTTAATGTCCATGACTTTACAAGCCTGAATTCAAATGCTTTTTCTCCTCTGAACTTTATTGGCGCTGAACTAATTGTCATTAAGTACTTTTTGTTTATTTTACAAGTGTTGCTATAGGAGAGACAATATTGAGAGGCGCACTGTTTCTTCCGTATGTTATGGATCTTTGCGTAGAATTTTGACATGGGTACAAATATTTCATAATTCTTATGGCTTCACCTGCTAATATGCATTGTTGAGAAGCTTTAATACTTTCATTAGTTTCTTTGATCGTATCAGCAAGGGCCTTTTTGTTATTCTGAAAGCCATACTTTAGAAAAAACGTAGATCAAACCCATGCTGCCATAGTTCTTGTTTGCAGTTTACTTCAGAACAGAGCTTCAAAGATCTGGAGGTGGAATTAGACTCTTTGAATGCAAAACAAAATTAAACTATGCATATTCAGTGTAATAAAATGATGCCAGAGACCAGTACCCAGAAGAAACTGCCATGTAGGCTTTGTAGTCATGCCAAAGCAGAGGTATTTTTGCAGTGGGTTTTTGAGTGCGTATGTTTATATATCTTTTGTTCTGGAAACTTCCTCTATTGAAATTTGCTTTGACAAAAATCCTGACTTGTAAACTCATCCAGGAGAAAACCAAAGTTAAAAAAAGGAGAGAAGGGTCAGAAATAGTAATAGTTCTACCTGATGAAAAGCACGTTTTTCCCTAATGTGGAGGGAGGACTCTGAGTTTAGGTTTTTTCATGCAGAGCTTCAGCTCAACGCTCAGCTTGGGCATATTTCCAACTCATTTAAATATAAAAACATTGACAGTAGAACTGACCTCAGGGAGAGCTGTGCTCATTAATAAGCATTTTCAGGACTTTGCCCTAGAATAAAAATCATGTCAGATTTTTCTCCAAGTTAGCTGTAACAAGTGAAATCGTAAGTAACCTTGCGTTCTAGGTTAGTAACACTTTGTGCACTACCATCTCATCCCATTGACTTTTCTAGTCTTACTATTTCTTTGGGCTTTGGTTAATCTGTAAGCACCATCCTTACAGGATTTGTTCGAGAGGAAGGATCTTTCAGATTTTCTTCCTCTGGGAACCGAAGTAACATCCTAAATTTGTGTGCTCAACAGTAGTAGCAGCTACTGTTACAGATATTAACAGCTACCTGTTACTACAGATAGCCCCAAATCAGCTACTTGCAGATGCAAGTACTAGGCTTAACAAAGTCTGCCGTGTTCAGCCTGGTCATTGGGTCGTGTCTGACTCAGATTTTTAAGAAGGATGTACAGGAGAGAGGGAAGATATTGCATGATCTTGTCTTCTGAAGCCTTCTTGAAATGAATTGAATTGCTCTGTGTTTCCTTTTGGGTAGCATCGACTGTGCTGGGATATTAAAACTCCGAAACTCTGACATCGAGCTGCGCAAGGGAGAGACAGACATCGGTCGAAAGAACACACGTGTGCGGCTGGTCTTCAGGGTTCATATCCCGCAGGCCAATGGCAGGACACTCTCCTTGCAAGTAGCCTCCAACCCCATTGAGTGCTGTAAGTAGCAACAAACATCCTTCTCTTGCTGGGTATTGTGCCACCTCACACGCAGTCTTTGTCCACCGACATGCTATACATTGGTTTTGCTTTACCTGTCTAGTTGGTGAACCTTAATCTACTTTCCAAAAGCACATGGTTTATACTGAAGACAAAAAAAGTGTGTAGCTTCATGCATTGATTTCTATAGGAAAGAACAAAAGTAGAGTGCACTTAAACTAATAGTAGACCTGAGAGTGACAAGGCTTTTTTTTCTGGTGACTCCCTGTCATACAGGTAACTGCTGTAGGAGTTTTGGAAAACAGCTATTGTGTCCTTTTCACTCTCTGTCTCCCCATCATAAAGCAAAAGCCAGCAAACAAAACCCCAACCTCTTTGATGCGGAGCTAGCAGTATACTAGAGCTGACGCACTGGCACAAGCTGCCTGCGGCTTCAGAAAACCTCCAGAAACCAGGTTTCCGCACTGGGGTCTCTTTGATTGAACAGGCTGCTTTTTATCAGATACACTGGGGCACCTTCCAAAGACACCTGTATCATTCTTGCTCCATAAGCCTCATCAGCCTCCCACACACAAAACAAAACCTTTTTGCTTCGTGTAGCTTCAACACTCCAGCACAAGTGGTGGAAATTGAATTTCAGTCTAACTCCCATGGCTGATTTGGTCAGCTGGATGGACCGAAGCAGTTTTTCAAGGTTTTGGTGGATTCCACAAAGTGGATCTTTCTGATGCCAACAGGGTAGGGAGTAACTTAACATCTGGTGGATAAGTGGGGGGTGAGCTCTGGGGGTGGGGAGCAGAGGGGATGGGGAGGAAGGCTTGACCGTCCCTAGCCCTGTGCGTGCTGGAGGGTCGTGTCCGCCCTTGTCCCTGTGTCATTGCCAGGCTGGAGTCCCACACAACATGTCTGGCAGGTCCTGGAGTGTATCAACATTTGATCTCTTGGAGGCATGGTGCTTTTTCAGGGATCGTTAATAGAGAGGCTGTAGGAAAGAGCATCCCTGCATTCCTCTTCCAAAAGCAGTGGCATTTAGACCAACAGTGATAGCTTCTCTCCTTCACAGTCATTCATTTAAATAAACAAATGAGCATTGGCAGTGGGAAGGGAGTTACATTAAGATAAACCTATGTTATTTATGAAGAATAGCAGAGCCTCCTGCTATAGCAGGTAGACTGGCATAAAGCCCTGTCTTCTGTCCAGGATATGTATGAGATGAACAATTTCCCCTTTGTTTCTTATTCAGAGCAAGTTCTAGGCTAACAGGCAAAGCAAAAAATGTGAGGAGTCATGGTTTCATCCTGCTCCCGTTGAAGCTGATGAGAGCTTTTCAATTGCTATGTAGCAGGATAAGGCACAATTTAAATATATCCTGAACTGGTCTGTGCGAAGGTGCCAAGCTCAGGAAGCCAGTAAATTTGTATCAGTGAACTGCAGTTTTGAGGGTTGTGTAACGAGCAAAAGTGTGGTACGTGCCTCCTGAAAGGAGCGGAAAACAGGAGAAAAAATAAAATGCTGGTGTTATTTCCAGTGGAGAATGTGGAATAAGCTGGTGCCAAAAGCTTCCTGCTTCTCTTAGTGCATGTGACACCAGGAGAAACCATGTAATCTGGATAAAATGTCACGTCATCCCTTGAAGCACAGCCATGCTCACTCCGTGTCCCAGTTGGGAGGGATAAAATATGTGCCACGAGAATACCGGATTCTGTTTGCATGGATCCACGTGTGCTTTGGCACTCAGGTGCTGGTGGAAATACGCTGTCTAAACTGTGAACTTCTGCTGGATCGCGAGGCCTATGGCTGCTGCTGCTGCAAGACAGTTTGCAGAATTGTCAATACAGTGTTTAGTGACTGAAACACATTTTGGACATGGATGGTCATCTTGTCATGTGTGTCTTGTAAACACACGGCATATATGTTATAGATAACATAAGAGAAAATTATTTTAAATAAACGAATTTTAATTAAAATACACTTTTTGATACAGTACAGATCAAGCTGAGTTTTAAAACAGATTGTTCTTTGTGAGCCTTTTGAATCTGTACTGCTATGTTTGATAACCCTATTGTTTACGATCAAGGCGCTTGAAAACCAACCATGTTTCCTGCAAACCTTCTGACCTTTCTTTGTTTCTATATCAAACACAGCTTAGCTTATGAGGGTAAGCATTAAGTTACTTACTGATGCAGTATTTACTTATTTTTGTGTGTGTGTGTGTTTGTGGTTGCTTTTTTTTTTTTTATCGTCTTTATAACTCTCCAGCTCAGAGATCTGCCCAAGAACTGCCTCTGGTGGAGAAGCAAAGTACTGACAGCTTTCCTGTTATTGGAGGTCCGGTCTGCTTTTTTCCCCTGTTTTAAAATCTCTGCCAAATGATGAAAGCATAAATACGGTAACATTTTCTTCTGCATGTAATATGTTTTCCTCCTCACTTGGCAAAGCTGTGAAAGTGATCTGAGCCATGCCTAGTGCTGAGGTTTCACATTATGGCAGGTGTAGTTATAGGTACTGCCCAAGAACTGCCTCTGGTGGAGAAGCAAAGTACTGACAGCTTTCCTGTTATTGGAGGGAAAAAAATGATACTGACTGGCCATAACTTTCTGCAAGACTCCAAAGTCATCTTTGTGGAGAAAGCACCAGGTATGTCTTTTCAATCTAGACTCCGGTCTGCCTTTTTTCCCCTGTTTTAAAATCTCTGCCAAATGATGAAAGCATAAATACGGTAATGACATTTTCTTCTGCATGTAATATGTTTTCCATGTCACTTGGCAAAGCTGTGAAAGTGATCTGAGCCATGCCTAGTGCTGAGGTTTCACATTATGGCAGGTGTAGTTATAGGTAGGCAATAGCAACACTGGAAGTCGAAGTTGGGCATTTGTCTCTGTAGCAAACCACGGCTGTACCAGGTAGGACCTGTGAAAGGTGTTCAAAATCTCAGGTGGCATGTCTCTGTAAAACCCGCAAGGTGGTGCATCTTGTTAAACCGTTCTGTAATTTGTGGAAGAGGGAGTGGTGTTGCTGGTGATGTGTATGTGCACGTGTGTCTCCTGTGGCAGTCGAGACCGGTGGCATTTACAATCCGCTGGCTGAGGAGGACTTGCGGCGTGCACGCATTCATTCGAAGGAGATATTTCTGGTTTACCTTGAGGACTGGGGAAGGACTGCCGCCGGCTCCCCCCTTGCACGGCAGTGCTCCTGCAGTGCATTGGTGGTGGGACTGGTCCTCCCAGGGAAGGGTCCCCGACCAGGCGGAAGCAGGGCAAGCGGCATGGGGTGGGAGCTGGGGCTGGAGCAGGAGGTGTCTGCAGGAGCGGTGAGTCACAGGGTGACAATGCATAACACGCGTGAAAGCCCCCACGGGAAAAGGTGGTGGGAGCGGAGCTGTGAGTCAAAGTCAGGCTCTGAAATGAAATCGTTAAGGGTAGTTTTGAGTCTTGCTTTGGAAAGGGTTTCTGTGGTGCTGGCACAAGCTACGGATTCCTCAGCTGCCGGCTGAAACCCCCCCTGAACTTTAAACTGTCTTGGGCGCTCCTCAGGCCTCCTCAGGCTGCCAGCGCTGGCTTTGATGCTGCGCCCGTTTAACCCTCCATATCCACGAGGTTCCCACACCATTTCCCTGCCCAGGGTTGCTGCCGGCAGTGCAGGAAGCCGGGCTGCAGGAAGGGATGGGGGGCGAGCAAGGGAGGCTCTGGAGGCAAAGATGTCTGAGTCAGCACGAGCTCAGCGGGCTCAGAAGAGCAGAAGACTTCCCTGAAGTTCCCCACTGGAGTCCTGGGTTGGTGAGGTTTAAGCCACCAAAAGTGCGCGTGAGGCGGAGGTAACGCCCCGGCTCCTCGGCAAAAGCCAGTCAGCGCTGTTCCTGTGACCCCCAAGCGCCGCGCAACGCGCGGTCAGGCTGTGGCTGTGAGATGAGCAGAACACCCTTCTTGTTTCTTAAAAAAGTTAAAAAAAAAGGAAAAAAGGTAGTATTGCAATTAAAAAAACCCTGAACTCTGCTCTTTGCGTAGCGTGAGGGGAGGGAAGAATGTGACTACTTCATATTTAAACTTCCTTCGCTGCACAGAAGTGGGTTAGTGTGACAGGTCAGGAATAAAGTCCTCGATCTGTCTCATTACAGGAAGGAAACCACATTAAAAGGTGCTTTCCTTCACACTTATTTTCTCTCTTCTTCCTTTATTGAGTTGGAAAAATTTTGAAGTATCATGTCCCAAAGGATTATGATGCTGATGCTACTTGCCCACCAGCAGGTACCACAGTGTGGATTTGGACACTGTCTGCCTTAGCATTAAGTACACCAAAAGCAGGATGTTCACTGTATAGCCTTAAATTACAAAAATGCAAAATGGGGCTAGCCCTGTACTTCTTAACCAGACAGTTTCCAAAGGAATTTGAGGCTGCACAAAGACAGCAATACCTCCCTCAAGCAAAAGGAATTTGAGGCTGCACAAAGACAGCATACAGATAGAAAATAATTTATATAAGTGACATTTTTTAAACATTGTGAGAGGTGAAGGAGTGTACTGCTGCACACTGGGTGTGCTGATGAGGAAGAAAATTATGAAAATGCCTTGCCTGTCACCCTGAAAAATGGATGGGGTGAACTCCTTGGGTGCATGGGTTGGCAGGATGGACCAGTGCAGGAGTGTCTCTTCTACATGAAAGCACCACCGGAGATCCCCCCGCACTCTTCCCCCTGGCATGGAGTGAGGGGCGACACTGCAGGAGTCAGTCAGTGAGCTGCTATCATTGAAGTGTAATCAAGATCATTAAGTCAGTATTGAAAGATCTGATCTGAAACTGTCCTGCCTGGTTTTAGTGGTCTCACGGTAGATTTGTTGCAGTTGCGGGGCAGTACTGCCTCACGGAGGTACACTGCAGGGGCCGAGCCTTTGAAGTCGAGAGTGTTCAGCATCTCCAGGAGCTTCAGTCGTGTCACTAGGAATGGCACACAAAAACCAAAGTTGCTGGCTGATCTGGGCTGGGCAATTTCTAGGGCTTCTGTGATGAGTTGTGTGCTACGTTGCCTAACAGCTCGAAGCATTGGAAACAAACAAGCGCGATGCATCATTGTCTCAGTGGCAAACTGCTCCGGCCCAGTTTTTGAGCAGAGTCACTGTATTTAATGTCAAATGAACAAGCATTAGCAGCCTTCACTTTTGAAAACCAGCACACGGTGTTTCTTTCCCTTTCAGCTCTTGCATGTCTATGAAAGTAGGTCAAGACAGGGAACACCAGCATAGTTTCTCTTTCTCTTAGAAAGCTGGTTATGAACTTTTGTGATTAGCTGAAGATATTCATTAGTTTTGCTGCTGTTACCACTTTTGTTTTTTAATTCAAAATGTTAATCACGTTCCTGGTGGGTAGCAGCCAAACGCAGCTATTACAAAGTAATAGATCACAGGAATCATTGCACTCATAAAGAGAACATATCTTTTATATAAAATTTAAATATTATACTACATGAGCTCATGTCGTCAGTCCTCACTCAGGCAAAGTCCCCAAGCCGGGAGGCAGTCTCCGGGAGCTTGTCTAATTCATGCTAGTCTGCATACTTAATTGGTTAACGCAAGGAGTTCGAGAACACTTTTTGTTCGCCTTCCCCCCCCCCCCCCCCTTTTTTCTTTTTTCCTATAAAGCTGCCCATCCGTAACAGGTCTCAATCACTCTCAGCAGTTGCCACGTTGGGTTGGTTTGGCGGGGGGTGGTGGTTTGGTTTTTGGTGTTTTGGGTTAATTTCTTTAATTCTGCCTAGTGCATTGTGGTCCGCTGAATGTTTTTCCAAGCATGAGTCCCAAGCTCTCCATCTTCAGGGCTAGCCCTCAGCTGTTGTAGTCTCTGGAGGAATGGCATTATCCTGGCCTCCTTTCGTGGGGAGTCTGTCTGAGCAGTGACTCATACAAGAGGGAATCCCTGAAGAATGATCAAATCAATCCTTCAGCTGGGGAGGCAGCGGCTTGGTGCTTTCAGCTTAACCCCTTACTGGCTGCTTTTTAGCCAAGAAGCGTATGAAACAGAGCAAAATATACTTTGCAGCCCTGCGACTCTGCATCTCACAGAGGAGGAACGAGGCAGCCAAGGGATGAAGGCGCACTGAAAGGACCGTGGGAGGAGCACTGTGAGGACCTCCTCTGAGAGGAGAACCCCTCACGGTGTGGTCCAGCGCTCAGGCAGAAGGCACCCCTTTGGATAAATAATGAGTCTTTTCAGAAGTGGACTAAAATTTGCTCAAGCCTTTTACAGTACCGTAAAAGGTTCTCATGTGTTGAAATGAGTCCTTATTTTATGGAATTTTGGTCAATGTTTTATTGCTTGCACATCAGACCATACTTTCCAGTGATGAACAATGGTATAAAACGATGTCCAAGAAGCCTAGCAGTAGTAAAAAAGTGAATGCTGAATGTGCTTTGAGAGGTTCACTCTTTTAAATTCAGAATTTCCTTAGACTGGGGAGTCCCATGATGACTTTGTCTCTTACAAATTACACTAATAATTGTTTTTCTTATCTTCTTTCGCTTTCTGTCTCTCTTTGTAGTCATGCTTTTCTCTTCCTGACTTTCAAAAGGGTCTTGTGAGTCTGTGTGTCATGGTTGTTGGGTGCTAGGTTTAGGACGTCCAATACCAATCTGTTTATCATCAGAACTAGTACTTTCTAAAATATAAAAAAGTCTGCAACTTCTTACTGGCAAGGGCCCTTGATGTCTGTATGCTGGTATTTGCTGTGGAGGCAAGGTGTGCGTTTTAGTTACGAAAGTGGATGAAATGAAGTTGATGTTTGTGGTCTATGGGAGGAGGTGTTTGGCTAGGAGGGACAAAATGTTTCCTGTGTAACATATGCATCTGCAGGAGCACAGATCGTGATCTGGAATTATAATAAAAGACACTGATTTATTTACTTATCTTCTAAAAGCTTTTTATTCCATTTCTAGATTATAAATGTACCAGGCAACAAAAACCTTGAGGGAAGTTCAGAAAATGCAGAGGTGTTTGGAGAATATGTTTTAAGGACTATATATCTGTCAGCTACCTTTTTTTGGTAACAGCTTCTGCAAACACTGTGTATTTGTTGTTCAAAACTAGTTTTCTGAAGGTAATACGAGTTACTGAACATAAAGCAGCACAAAAGCCTAACAGAAATGACCAGACTGCTGGCTCCTAGTATATCAGATTATAATTAGTGATCTATAAAACTGAGTGCGGTGGAAAAATCCTGGTTTCTCTTCACTCAGTTCACAAAACGTTTCCTGTAACTGACGAGTGAAAGCTCACTGATGAGACACAAAGGCAATATCCCAAGCACCAAAGCACAGTAAAGTTATGGGTATGTCTTCCTGGCATGCTTTAGGATGTTATGGAGTTGCCCAAGATATGTTGGGATATAGAAAGAGTCTCGCGCTAGGATCTGAAAGAGTTAATCTACCCCAAAAATTGCTCCTTGCTCAAAAATTGCTCCTTACTCCTGTAGCTAGAATGATTTTGGCACTGTAACTAGCTCAAGTATTTCTGGACTTCACGGATTTGGCCAAGTCTAGACATACCTAAGAGATCAGGTTAAACTGACCGAAATCTTCATTATTGGCAAGTTATGATCTATGGGAAGAAATGGATATTTGGTGTATTATTATTAATTATCATTCAGTTGA